GTGACTTAATAAAATATAACTACAATATGTAACAAGGTAATTTAGGTTTATGTCAGGTTTGGGTGATGCTAGGTTATATCAGATTAGTGCTTGCCAATATTTTAACTAAATTGATGCACAGAAATCTTTGTTAATAGGAAAAAACAAGAGATTTCTGACCCACCATTTACTTGGTAACATCGGAGAGATCACTGGTATTCTATTGTCTATCACTGCTAAACCCATAAAACAGAGCACAGTTATGATTAAGATTCATCAAATTTACTATGGTTACAGGTATTATTACAAATATTTTACATATAAAAATAATCTAGTGATATAAGCATGTAAAAGGAGGAAATTTTAGCCTTACTGCTCCCTGACTATATAATACAAAATTACTCACAATACATTTTGCCCAACTTTATTATTCTAATTGTGAAATAAATAAATAAATTTATGTAAATTTATATATATATATATATATATATATATATATATATATATATATAAGTTAATTCTAGCGTAATATAAAATTTACAAATTATCTTGTCAAATTTGTTGCCGAGGCTAAATTACTTAGTAAAACTGCAGACATATTTATCTCGTGAAGAACATTATTTAATCACAAGAAAGTTCTTCTCGTATAATACCTTAAATGTGTCCCTTAAAAAAACATTCCTGCTTACTATACTACGTCAATTTCAGTCTGCTGGCCAGCAAGATTCAACATTACTTGGTATTTCCTCGCCTCCTCTCTCTATCATCACATTCTACTTACCCCGTTCGCTCCCACTGGTTCTAGTCGGTGTTCACATGCACGAAAATAATATCCCTGGCGTTTTTAATTCATGTTCATTGGTAAAAAGAGAGAAGGGAGAGGTAGACGATACACCACAAGACACACATCACCACTCACTGCTGCAGACCATTGTTGTTCTGGCGTAGTTGATGCTCTCTCCACCACGCGGCACCACCATACAATACCACCACTACCATAACTAGTAAAGTAGGTGCCAGTAAGTTTATTCAGGTATACACAAATACAGATACATAGAATTATCATACATAGCAGCATATGTGTAGAGAATCTAGGATAACCCAAAAAAGTCAGAATGACTTATTTCCATTGGGGACCACTATTATAACTAGTAAAGTATCACCACCACCACTACTGTAACTAGTAAAGTGCCACTACCACTACTATAACTAGTACACCACCACTACTGTAACTAGTAAAGTGCCACTACCACTAGTATAACTAGTAAAGTGCCACCACCACTACTGTAACTAGTAAAGTGCCACCACCACTACTGTAACTAGTAAAGTAAATGCCACCACCACTACTGTAACTAGTGAAGTAAATGCCACCACCACTACTATAATTAGTAAAGTACCACCACCATTACTGTAACTAGTAAATTAAATGCCACCACAGACCGGGCCGCGGGGGCGTTGACCCCCGAAACTCTCTCCAGGTAAACTCCAGGTAAACTACTATAACTAGTAAAGTGCCACCACCACTACTGTAACTAGTAAATGCCACCACCACTGCTACAACTAGTAAAGTAAATGCCACCACCTTTACTATAACTAGTAAAGTGCCACCACCACTACTATAACTAGTAAAGTAGATGCCATCATACAACACCACCACTACTATAACTAGTAAAGTAGATGCCATCATACAACACCACCACTACTATAACTAGTAAAGTAGATGCCATCATACAACACCACTGCTATAATAAAGTGCACAACCACTACTATAACTAATAAAGTAGGTGCCACCACCACTATTATAACTAGTAAAGTGTCACCACCACTACTATATCTAGTAAAGTAGGTGCCACCATACAACGTCCAAGGGACCCCTGAAACCCCGTCGGCATCTGAAAATCACTTGCTGTCATTGTTGTACATAGCAACCAAATAAGATACAGGCATGAATTAATTATTCAGCGTTTTATGTTTTAAGGCCTGAGGAATGATTTTTCCCACTCGCTTTATCACTAAATGTACCTGAATCACATAAAAGTTGTTGTAACCGTTAAAAAAAATCGAAAAATAATATGATAATCAATATCTCTGTCTTATCCACATGCATACAGACATAGATGCACGACCCTTCTTAAGACGTACAGCAGAGGGAATTATGCAAGATCATTGTTAATCTATAGTCCAACAGAAAAAGAAGTAGTAATTATATTAGCAACTAAAACAGTCATAACTGAAGACATAAGAGAACGTTTCTGAAAGTTGAAGAGTTTTGCACAAATATTTGCAAAGAATTGTTCATTTTAGCCCCTTCTTGTTATACTCCAAAATTGGCTACATACATGACTTACGACAACCACACTTTACCAGCTCCTAGCACACTGCTGCAACTTATAGGAAGGTAATCCATTGTGAAACAAGCATTCCTGCAACTCATTTTAAACCAAGCAGGCAGGTATCTGATTCTCTAAATGGATCATGGATAGATACCCAAATTCTGGCCTGGTAGAGAGCCTTTTGATAGCGGTGGTACAGAGCATTCAGAGTCGGTGGGTCACTAAAGTGGTGGGTCTCCTCCGCAGACCTGAATGGTGAAATGCTCAGAGGAATTAAAAAGTTGACTTTCATCTTAATTCCATTAAAGAGTTGGAAGGAACCCATAGCCTCAATGACATCATCAGGGCACTTCTGCAAGGCTTTGCAACAAAAGCGCTTTGAACGGCCTCTCAGGTCTGAAACTAGTAATAATGGTAGTGTTAGGTAAACAGTCACAGATGCTACTAATGAGGTTAGAAATGTGCTGTAGAAGTGAGGGATTTTTCCGAGATCAAAACGTTGCCGCAATAAAATGTCATTGGTTGCATCTGTGCCCTTTTACCTAACACCTGCATGACTTGTGGGTTTAGTGCATAGTCATGATAATAATAATAATTATAAATTTTCCTAAATGGTCAGAAGCTGAATCACAGCCAGTGGTGACCGCAGCAAAGAGAGGGAGGGCAGTACACAGTACATAGTTTTCTTCCTAAAGTTTCAATAATGTCCCTGATGTACATAATGCATTGATGCCTCTCAGTGTCTTTGCTGACAAATACTTCACAGTTGATAACAGTTGTGGCTTCAGAGAAAAGAAAACAGTGAGTAAGAATGAATGATTACATCAGAGTCGGAGGTCCTCACCAAAATGTTTGAATGACCACATGTACTCAGAGCCTAAAGAATGTGCAGCACGAATGTAAAATTCTTCATCCATGTCTTGGCCTGGTCCCCAGTGCTTGACTGTCTTCTCATCAGCACTGGGGATGTATAGATAGATCACCCATCGGTCTCCAAGGCACTGAAAGATTTTTGTTGTACTTAAGGAACTCTGACATTTTCCTGGTATTTTCATCATCAGGCCAACTTTCAGACGCACTCCTGCTCCTGGTAATGATCTGATTCCATCCTCGAAAGATTGTCTATGAGCGTCCCAAAGAATATAAAAAGAGCAGATCTTCCTAAGCTCCATTTGAATGTGCTTCCAGAAAGACGTATCTTCGTAGTTAGTAAGAGTTGGCATATTACCTCGGGGAACCAGGTGTTACATAATCATGAACTGGCGGGAAATATAAGTAACTTGAACCTGCAATGATTAAAGGTTTATGAAATGATAATCTACGGGCATATGCTTTAAAGACTAACAGGAACTTATAATGAGGCGAAGTAAACTTAGTGGAGTGTGGACGTGTGCTGATCAGATCTTTATCTTCCCTGTTTTCATTAATATTACAAGTGATTACAACCACAGTTTATGAACTATAGTAATTGTCTAGAGGCATTATCACTCCACTTGTTCTTGGCATTTTGAATTTAGAATATGTTCGGAAACTTAATTTAATATCGAAAGAATTACATATCTTTCAGTGTAGCCGACTTCGTTGGAAGACACACTGATCACTGTCCTAGTTCAACCATTTTATTTATTATTTTAATTACAGGGAAGCGCTAAACCTGTAGGGTTATACAGCGCATGTGGGGGGATGGAAGGTATTCAGGATCAATTCAGGGAACTGGAGCACAGATCCAATTCCCTAGATCAAGAGCCCCTCCCAGCATCAAGGAACCTCCCTTGAGGAGCCTAGTTCAACCAGTCCTTGATGGATACCAGGTATACGTGTTAGTTTATTGGGTTCAATAACTACACTGGTCAGACGAATAGCGTTACTAAGCATAGTCCCACCACAAAAAGAGTGAGTGTTTTAAATGTTGAAATTCATAATTATGTACGAGAATATACTGAATTTTAGAGTTTAATGTAACAGTGTCTTTCTTCTTATTTTAACACGCCGGCGGCCGTCTTCCACAGAGGCAGGGCGACCTGAAGATTATTATTATAATCAAGGGGGAAGCGCTAAACCCGGAGGATTATACAGCGCCTGGGGGGGGGAAGTGGAAGGCATTCAGGCTTAATTTGGGGAACTGGAGCACAGATCCAATTCCCTAAATCAAGAGCCCCTCACCAACATCAAGGAACCTTCCTTGAGGGGGCGACCTGAAGAACAGAGGGAGTTTACTAACATCTTGCTCCAGGCATTTTAGTCGCCTCTTACAAGCATGACCTACGAAGGAAGGATTCTTTTCCACTTCCCCGTGGAGATGGAAGGAAAATAAATAAGAACACTTATTTGCCCTCAAGATCATTGTAAAAATGTTACAAATACAAATACAGTTCTATTTCAAAATTAATGTACAAAACATACAATGCTCTGAAGGCCCATAGGCCTAAATAAAATCTTAAATAAGTCATTTTGAATTTTGGGGGTAATTTAAACACACATTACTGTGCAGTACAATTGAAATCATCCAAAAATTGTGTAAAATTGTACCGAAATAAACTTTCCAAACGCTGCTTGTCTTTATTAAATAATTATCCAATAAGCGAATGAAGATAATTTTATTAATTTACCAGTTATTTTAAAATGATTTAACTATTAAAATAGTACTTAGTAAATAATTTTTTATGTAATTTTGAGAGAGGAACCATTTCAAAACGTTTAAGGTTTTGTTTACAAGTTTTCACGTTGTTGACGGTGTTAGCAAGTTACTGCTTATTTTACTGTCTTGTGGACCATAATTGTATGTTATAGTGAATGATTCTAACCCTAGGTAACTAGCGAAATCTGGGAGGTGCCTGAGTAACGTCAGTGAGGTGCCATACTCAGAACATGTCATCAGCAGCAACAGTCAGTCATCAGTAGTAGTCATCATCAATAGTCAGTCATCAGCAGCAGCAGTCATCATCAGTAGCAGTCATCATCAGTCACCATGGACACTATACTGGAGCAGCAGAGACGCTACCATGAAGAAAGAGAGCGGCTTATGGCAGCAATGGTGAAGGAATGTCTTCATAAGAAGAGTTCTGTAAGTTTAGCAGTTCTGAATGACAGGTGAAGGATAAATCAAAATACTGTGGCTAGAATAATAAAATAAAACCTGCCCTTGAGAGAGGGAACCTAAGATGACATTTTGGTCTGAAATGTACTGCATGCTAATGGCTTCCTTTTGTACTTAATATTTATTACATGTAAGCAACATTTTGTACTGCGGAAAGAAATAAAGTTGTCACAACTAACTTGACAATGGTCCTGTTTGAACTGAAGTGTCATCATAAGTATTTTCCCCTAAGTGTGGCTTATTTGTGACTAAAGATATTTTTGTATCAAATCGTTGCCTTTAACCCTTAAACTGTCCAAACATAATTCTATGTTTTTTCAACATTTAAAAGTATAAAAAAAGTAGATTTTTTTTTTTTACATTTGAAAACATGTAAAAAAACGTAGATCTACTTTTTGAGCACTATGCATGTGAACATAGATCTGCTTGGACAGTTTAAAGGTTAAGTAAGTTTATTTAGGTACAGGTATACATAAGTACAGTTATCATACAGAGTGTAAATTATCTAGGATAACCCCTTCAAAAAAAGTTAGACAAAGTGATTTACTTTCATTGGAGTCATTTCTTGGATCACACCTGATTGCCATCCAGTATCTCAGGCATTGTATGACCCCTACGAGTTTATCACTTCCACGTAAATATAATAATATAATCAGAAGTGAGAAATCTTTGAATAATGAGATTTTGGGGGGGAATTTCAATGATTTCATTAGCTTTTCCAAATGTTGATTGGTCAGAGGTCTGATATTTTCCTACTGGTGTAGTGCTCGTGGCTACAGTTTACAACTGCTACTTGGCGGAACTTGGGCACTAGTAAACGTTTTACAAGACATACCAGTACAACCTATGTTCATGACAGAATAAGTAAATATTTCTTGGATAGATTGTTAATTTGGGAGTTATTAGCAAAAATAATATATTTATTTTGGTTGTGCAACATATCTGAGCTAATCAACAGTTAGTATTATTGTGTCATGCATATGGCTGAATATAAACAAAGACATATCTATCAGTGGCAGAGTAAGGCTAAATTACATTAGGGTATTTGAATTTGGGATAGGTTAGTTTTGTTAGGTTATGTCTTGTAACAGCTGAGCTACAAAATATCTCAGATGTAAAACACACTTACTATTGCACAATTCAAACTATAATTAATTGCCAGTATCCACCTAGGAGCAGTTATCTATTATTACTAAGCTCTCACATACTCAACTTGAATTTAATAAAACTATCTATCCATAAAAAATATATAAATTAACACAATCTGTACACAGATAACCCGTTCACAGAATTGTGTTGGATAATTCAGGGTTATATTTTTAATAAGTCATGAAACGTGCCACCTTGATCATTTTCTGAGGTTGGCGATTTGAAAAATTGGTTACTGCTAAACATCAGCCTGCATATCAAACATTAGTAGCTACCAGTGATAGACCTACATTTTTGGGGCCCAGAAGCTTGAACTGTTTTGGGGGCCCATTTGCAATCCCTTCTCATACAGTAGACCCAAAATTTTTAAGCAATGTGGACTAAAGGCACTTCTGGGGGCCCTGAAGCTTCATATATAATTTCATAGTAGATCTACCCCTGGTAGCTACAGTGAATAGTATTATTATGGATGTCTATTTGGCAGGCAGCCAAGTAGTAAACAATTTATTAAAGTTATTTACATGGCAGTCTGGTAGTTTTTGTGTCAACTGGGGGTATCCAAGGCCAGACATCTTATTTTCTTAGTTCATAGCTTTGTGCAGTTAAATGAGTAAACCCTCAATTTAATGTACCTCAGATTAACAGACTCTTGAAATACGGGACAAGATCCACTATATCGGTTGGTTTGGAAACAACGGACAAAGCCCACTGGTTACAGAATTGTCTGTTACTGCTATGATCACAGCAAAGTCTCATCTTCCACAACAATCATATTACCAGCCACCCACTCTTCCCTGTAAATCCATTAACTTGAGGATTTATTAAGTATGTATACAATATTTTATATAGGATTCATATTTTATTTAAAACTAATACATAATCTGTACATCATTTTTTATTATTGTTTTGTAAAGTTGAAGCCGTGGAGAGAAAGAATATCCTTGCCATTGGTGGCAGTCTGTATTGAAGGGTGTGGAGCATAAAAATGCTACCAAAAGAGTAATGAAACTATTAAAAAGCTTGGTAGAATCCATGGTGTTGTGAACCTAGGCACTGCCCAAGTTCACAACAAAGACCTTGGTTTGATCCTACAGTGGGGGGGAGGCACTGGGCATGTTTTCTTACACTTGATACCCCTGTTCATATTACAGTAACTAGGTACCTGGATGTGGATTACATTTTGAGGGAGAGAACCAAATAACCCCAAAAGAAATAAGCATTTCTTGGGTTACTAACCCTTCCAGGTTCATAATTGGCATAGTCTTCAACTGTTCAAACCTTGCTTAACCTAGGCAATAAAGATTAGCTGATTGGTTTGGATGAGTCATCACTGAACCTGCAAAGTTATTAGAATCCTTTTTGCAAAGAAGTGTGATACCTACCAGTGGGCTGCAACTCCAGGGTCACTCCTACATTTTGATTGAGGGGTCATGAGAATTGATTCTATGCAGAGCATACACATTGAAGCATTTCTTTGTTGCTGTAGATGGTGGCCTCGCTAGCATGGAAAGCCCCAGCTAGTGCGGCACATGGCATCTATTGAAGTTGCAGTCCTTCACCACAAAAATGTGATTCAGTTTCACAGGGAGGGCACATAACATGGCTTACCCTTTGTTAAAAATAGGTATTCTATTTATTTAATGTAGTAGATTAAAATCATTTTTATATTATGTTTGTGCTGAAGTTAATTTTACTTTCAGTGTCTTTAAATGATTTCAGAATCGGGAAGTTATAAACTCAGACCACCGCCATCGTATTTTGCTTGATAGGTATGTAGAGGCTTCACAGCATCTAGCAGACCTATATGAAGACAAAGATGGTCTTCGCAAGGAGGAGGTAGCAGCATTGTCTGGGCCCAATGAACTGGCAGAATTTTACAACCGCTTGAAGCAAATTAAAGAATTTCACAAAAAGCATCCCAATGAGGTATTTTCCAGTTATTTTTCTTAATCACACATGACATAGGTAATATTATAAATGTTGTAGTAGTTATACTAAATTTTGAATTAAAACCTTTTGTAATGCAATAAATTCTTATTCACAGATTATCCTTAGTGTTGCATGTATGACCCAGTCATACATGTATCTATGGACAGCATATCTTTCCTTAATTTTTGCAATATTTTTTCATTGTATAAGTGAAAAAGGCCTCTGAAAGGTCCCTTTGATGTTTACTGTATATTTATTGGACTCTCCTATATATGGCTTATAAGTACAATAATATAAATGTGTACAATATAGTATACTGTTATGAATTTTTGAACCTGATATTAGTGTGCATGAATGTTAATGCATCATAAGCGTGAATATACTCTAGGTACTATATATTTTTTAGAGGTACAAATGCTGTAAGGGCTTAATTTTTTACTAAATACTGTTTAGTAAAAATATGGAGCATATACAGTATTTTCAGGCATATAAAGGAGGCTTTCCCCCTTCTCCCCCCCAAAAAAGTCTCAGATGTGCCTTATATGCTCAAGGTCAGGAACAAGGGTAGGCTTTGGATTACAGGCAAGTGGTGGTTTTGGTGTTGCAGTACCAGTAAACTAAACTCAAAATATGCCCTCCCCCCCATCTCTGCAAAACTGTATCTTAGATTACTCTAAGAGTGATTAGTAACTTTTATAAATTATAATTTACATACTATGTACTGGTATGTAATAAGCAAACCACCTTCAACAGTTGTAAATAATTGTAAAGTAGCTGTTTGTTGGCAGTGGAGCAAATGACATGCTGTGCAAGGTCCCACCTCCTTCAGCCATGTTGTGTACATAAGTAGCCAGTCACTGGCTCATTATCATTGTCAAACAAGTCCATTACTCCATTTTTTTGTTTTTTCCAGAATATTCCTGCCAAAATTAGGGTGTGCCTTATATGCCGGTGCATTATACAAAAATCTTATGATAATTTTATTCTGCAGATAAGTGTGCCTATGAGTGTGGAGTTTGAGGAAATCAACAAGCAAAGGGAAGCTAATGATGAGAATCTGGTAATGGTAGACTTCACTGATGAAGAAGGCTATGGCAAATATCTTGATCTTCATGAGTGCTACAACAAATATCTTAATATCAAAGGTATGGCTTGTGAGGCAGCAATACCTTGGCTTAGGAACAGAATTTATATTTTCACTTATTCCTCTATAGCTAAATAGTTTTTTAATATAGTTGTCACTTTACATTAATAAGTTAAAGAATACCTTATATCAGTATCCTCAATAAAGTCAGTATACTTTCTTGAACATTCACATAACAGAAGGTCAAATAACTGAAAAACCTCTGAATTTCTCCCTTAATGATTATTTGTGCTCTTATAATGATATATACTTTCAGTAAAAGTATGTCTGAGTAATTTCATACTTCATGTATGGTAGGCAGTTTAGTCACCTCCCCCAACACCATGTGAGAATGCACTTGTATGAGAACATAAGTTTTTAGAATACACTGGCTAGTTGATCTCATAATGAGCTGAACTTTATAAAAATTGATTAGCTCTTCAATATAAAGTAATATATTTCCAATTGGAAGCCTTAACTCCTGACCCACAATATATACTGTGAAGTTGTTTAGTGAGGTACCATGTGCCATTTCACTTGCAGTTCACCAGTCTGTCAACATGTTCCCACTTTCCATCGCTCATAAAATACGTATGTATTCAAGTAGTAACAGGTTATTTAAGTATGTATATCTCCTGGCAAACCCATACATATTTTTTTTTTTTTTTTCAACAAGTTGGTCGTCTCCCACCGAGGCAGGGTGACCCAAAAAAGAAAGAAAATCCCCAAAAAGAAAATACTTTCATCATCATTCAACACTTTCACCACACTCACACATTATCACTGCTTTTGCAGAGGTGCTCAGAATACAACAGTTTAGAAGCATATACGTATAAAGATACACAACATATCCCTCCAAACTGCCAATATCCCAAACCCCTCCTTTAAAGTGCAGGCATTGTACTTCCGTTTTCCAGGACTCAAGTCCGACTATATGAAAATAACCGGTTTCCCTGAATCTCTTCACTAAATATTACCCTGCTTACACTCCAACAGATCGTCAGGTCCCAAGTATCATTCGTCTCCATTCACTCCTATCTAACACGCTCATGCACGCTTGCTGGAAGTCCAAGCCCCTCGCCCACAAAACCTCCTTTACCCCCTCTTTCCAACCCTTTCGAGGACGACCCCTACCCCTCTTTCCTTCCCCTATAGATTTATATGCTTTCCATGTCATTCTACTTTGATCCATTCTCTCTAAATGACCAAACCACCTCAACAACTCCTCTTCTGCCCTCTGACTAATGCTTTTATTAACTCCACACTCCGAATTTTCTGCATAATATTTACACCACACATTGCCCTTAGACAGGACATCTCCACTGCCTCCAACCGTCTCCTCGCTGCTGCATTTACCACCCAAGCTTCACATCCATATAAGAGTGTTGGTAATACTATACTTTCATACATTCCCTTCTTTGCCTCCATAGATAATGTTTTTTGACTCCACATATACCTCAACGCACCACTCACCTTTTTTCCCTCATCAATTCCATACATATACCTTCTTAATATCCAGCAGGGGTAGCCGATTACCATACTTACAGGATCAGCTTTCTAGCATTCTAATAAAGGAGGAATGAGACATAATATTTCAAAGCAGTAGCAGAAAAGGGTAAATGTAAAGGGTTAATCAAAGTGGGTTAATATTGCAGTTATTTGACAGAATAATAAGGTGTGAGTACAGATTATATTTAAAGTATTTCATTAGCTTCAGCATAAAATCATGCACCATTCCACTTGTATGAAACCAAACCTACCTCCTTGGAGCTGGCACTAAGAACCACAGCTTCTCTCTGGACCATCTATAACCCTACTAATTCATTTTCATTCTCTCTCTCTCATATCCAGGCTTAGGTTAGTAGAAAGTCATTCCATCTGAGTACCTTGCATAGATAACCAGGAAAGGCAAAACCTATCTTTGGTGTCTGTCAACAAGATATTGTAGCTGGAGATTAACACAATTGGCCCCAGACCTACAGCTTTTTAGCTGAAACTGGAGCTTATTTATACAGACAGTAACCATGGCACCAAAGAGGAATGTGAGTGATATTGGAAGTGCAGAGAAACATAAGTGGGAAAGTCTTAGTGTTTTGAAGAAAATTGAGATACAGTGGCACTCCAGTTTTCGTCCTTAATCTGTTCCAGAAGGTCGGTTGAAATCCGAAATGGACAAAAACCGAAGTAATTACTCCGTTCCAGACACCCCAAAATATTAACAAAAAATACATTTTATAGAGAATAACCATAATTTTACATACAGAAAACAATGAGAAATAAGTATAAAGCACTAATTTTAATGGATAAATGAACATTTAAATCACTATTACATACCTTTATTGAAGACTCTTGTTGATCTACACCAACAACTTCTCCACATCTTTGATTGTTTGTGATTTCTGTTTTGTTAGCATATTTACCCCATTTGCAACATCAGCTTCCTTGGTTTTTACTTTCTTCACCAGGATGGAACTGATTGTTGATTTGGACTTCCCATACATCCTGGCGAGCTCGGCCACACTTACGCCACTTTCTTATTTTGATACAAGCTCTTTCTTGAATTCTATCATGTTTCTCACCTTTACCAAAGGGCTGGCACTCTGAACTTTCTTTGGCCCATGGTGGCTTATTTCGCGGTCGCACTAAATAAATAAGCACCAAAAACAATGGATGAATGTGCGGAGTATTGTTCACTTGACAAGTGACAGAGGCAGACTGAGTCAGGCGGCAGCAGCCCGGGTGGGCAGATGCGTCTCATACGGACGATTTCCTAGTCGATGTATGAAACCTGGAGTAAAAATTCGTCCAAAAAAGTGGTCAAAATTTGAATTGTACAATATTTGGACCAGACAAAAACCAGTTTTACTTTATTAGATAAGGCCAGGATGAGGTCAGATGTGCCTGAGAAAATTAGAGTTAAGGAAGGAGTTAATCAGTATTGGCCTAAAATTTAATATCTGTATAGGTATTAGCAAAAATTTTGGTACTGTCTTTCACTAGATAGGTGTGTGAAAGATATGGAATGGCACAAAATACGATATATATAATTGGTGTGACTGTAGAGTAGCTCAAAAGTCATGTTCTCCTATGGTTTGAACAAGGACCTGATTTTTTTTTTTCAACAAGCTGGCCCAAAAAGAAAAACAAAGGTTTCTCTTTTTAAATTTAGTAATATATACAGGAGAAGGGGTTATTAGCCTCTGGCATTTTAGTCTCTTATGATACGCATGGCTCATGGAGGAAGAATTCTGTTCCACTTCCTGTGGAGATAAGTGAAAGTAAACAAGAACTAGAAAGAAAATAGAAGAAAACCCAGAGGAGTGTGTGTGTGTGTGTGTGTGTATTTTTTTTTTCAACAAGTCGACCATCTCCCACCGAGGCAGGGTGACCCATAAAGAAAGAAAATCCCCCAAAAGAAAATACTTTCATTATCATTCAACACTTTCACTTCACTCATACATAATCACTGTCTTTGCAGAGGTGCCCAGATACAACAGTTTAGGAGCACATGTAATGATTAATATAACATATCCCTCCAAACTGCCAATATCCCAAACCCCTCTTTTAAAGTGCAGGCATTGTACTTCCCATTTCCAGTACTCAAGTCCATCAATATAAAAATCACCAGTTTCCCTGACTCCCCCCACTAAATATTACCTTGCTCACACTCCAACAGCTCATCAGGTCCCAAAAACCATTCATCTCCATTCACTCCTATCTAACACGCTCATGCACACTTGCTGGAAGTCCAAGCCCCTCGCCCACAAAACCTCCTTTACCCCCTCCCTCCAAACTTTTCGAGGACGACCCCTACCACGCCTTCCTTCCCCTACAGATTTATACGCTCTCCAAGTCATTCTACTTTGATCCATTCTCTCTAAATAACCAAACCACCTAAACAACCCCCCTTCAGCCCTCTGACTAATAATTTTATTAACTCCATTCCTTCTCCTAATTTTCACTCTCCAAATTCTCTGCATAATATTTACACCACACATTGCCCTTAGTCAGGACATCTCCAGCCGCCTCCTCACTGCAGCATTTACAACCCAAGCTTCACACCCATACAAGAGTGTTGGTACCACTATATTTTCATACATTCCCTTCTTTGCTGCCATGGATAATGTTTTTTGTCTCCACAAATGCCTCAACGCAGTACTCACCTTTTTTCCTTCATCAGTTCTATGATTAACCTCATCCTTCATAGACCCATCTGCTGACACATCAACTCCCAAATACACTGGAACCTCGGCGTACGAATGCCCCACCATGCGAATTTTTCAGGATACGAACAGTCACATGATCGATTTTTTGCTTCTGGATACAAACGAAATTTCAGAATGCGAACTTCCCCCTCGAGGGAGGTTCCTTGGTCAGGGGCTCTTGATCAAGAGAATTGGATATGTGCTCCTTTTCCTTAAATTAGCAATAATAATAATAATTATTATAATACATACGTACTACTACTAATAATACACTGCAGCAGGCTTGTTGGCCCACACTAAGCAGGTCCTTTACAATCCATCCCATTAACAGAATAAACGCTACCCAAACAATAAGCTTTAATAATTCTATTTACTCACGTGCAAGTCCCACTCAAATCCAACCCTCTCACTCATGTATTTATCCAACCTAAATTTGAAACAACCCAAGGTTTTAGCTTCAATAGAACCTAGGGTAGCTTTAAAGAGAGATTGGACAAATATATGAGTGGGAGGGGCTGGGTATGATTGGTGTCATGGGTGCATAATAACATAAGAAAGGAGGAACACTGCAGCAGGCCTGTTGGCCCATACTAGGCAGGTCTTTCACAGATCCAACCCACTAACAGAAAAAACATACCCAAGCAATAAGTGTTGACAATTCTATTTACTCATCTTGACTATGTGCTAATGGAGTTACAGGAAGCTGACATCGAAGAAATGCTGAACATTGACATTGATGCACCTGTTGTGCATCCCTTGAGTGATGGTGAAATTAGATGAATTGTGATACTATATAAATAAGCTGTAGAGTTGATATTAGCATCATATTGAAGTATTTTATCGTGCCTCCTAAGAGCGGGAATTCCACTGGAATGGATTAATGCCACTTCAATTAATTTAAATGAGGAAAATTAACTCAGCATACAAACAAGGTCACGGAATGGATTAAATTCATAAGCCGAGGTTCCACTGTCTCTGAAATCATTCACTTCTTCCATACTCCCTCCCTCCAATGTGATACCCAATTTTTCTTTACCTAAATCATTTGATACCCTCATCACCTTACTCTTATCTACATTCACTTTCAACTTTCTACCTTTACACACCCTCCCAAAATTGTCCACTAACCTTTGCAACTTTGCTTTAGAATCTCCCAAAAGCACAGTATCATCAGCAAAAGGTAACTGTGTCAGCTTCCATTTTGGACTTCCATCAAGCATGCGTGAGCGTATTTGATAGTGAATGGAGACAAATGGTTTTAATGCTTGATGTGCTGTTGGAGTGTGAGCAAAGTAACATTTATGAAGGGATTCAGGGGACCTGGCAGGCCAGACTTGAGTCCTGGAGATGGGAAGTACAGTGTCTGCACTCTGAAGGAGGGGTGTTAATGTTGCAGTTTTATAACTAGTGTAAAGCACCCCTCTGGCAAGACAGTTATAGTGAAAGGTGATGAAAGTTTTTCTTTTTCAGGCCACCCTGCCTTGGTGGGAATCGGCCAATGTGTTAATAATTTGTACTTGATTCCCCATAATTTAATCCCACCCCTCTCCTCAACACCCTAGCATTTACTTCTTTCACAACCCTATCTATAAATATGTTAAACAACCATGGTGACATTACACATCCCTGTCTAAGACCTACTTTTACCGGAAAGTACTCTCCCTCTCTTACACACCCTAACCTGAGCCTCGCTATCCTCATAAAAACTCTTTACAGCATTCAGTAACTTACTACCTGTTCCATACACTTGTAACATCTGCCACATTGCTCTCCTATTCACTCTATCATGTGCCTTTTCTCAGTCCATAAATGCAATGAAAACTTCCCTACCTTTATCTAAATACTGTTCACCTATATGTTTTAATGTAAACACTTGATCTACACATCCCCTACCCACTCTAAAGCCTCCTTGCTCATCTGCAATCCTACTCTCTGTCTTACCTCTAATTCTTTCAGTAATAACTCTACCGTATGTACACTTTACCTGGTATACTCGGTAAACTTTTTTTTTTCAGTAAGTCAGCCATCTCCCACCGAGGCAGGGTGACCCAAAAAGAAAGAAAAAAATCCCCAAAAAGAAAATACTTTCATCATTCAACACTTTCACCTCACTCATACATAATCACTGTCTTTGCAGAGGCACTCAGATACCACAGTTTAGAAGTCCCTCCAAACTTTCAATATCCCACACCCCTCCTTTAACCCTTAAACTGTCCACACGTAGACATTCGTTCACGTGCGGTTAGCTCCAAATGTAGATCGTTTTATTTTTCATTCCTTCAAATTTGGTGCGATAGGCCTGAGTCGCCTAGACATGAAAGAATCGGTCTGTGCACTCAGTGTGTGCACCTTGCATGTTTATGAGACAGGAAATATACTACCAGCAGTCTTACCATCATGTAAAACAATTACAGGTTTCCGTTTCACATTAACTTGGCAGGACGGTATTGCCTTCGTGGGTGGTTGCTGTCTACCAACCTACTACCTAGGGATAGGATGATTACTTACATGATTTTTTATAGCAGTGAAGTGCTGCAATGGGTTGACAACTTTATGAAAATGAAAAGTAGAGATTTTACAATGATGACTTAAGGGGCATAAAACTGACTATTATATTTAGATAGAACTTTCTGGAGGCTTTTCCACTATCGCCTAGCCTTGAAGAGAAGCAACAAATATTAATGTACTGTCTATATATATATAGGCAGTTTGGAGGGGTATGTTGTGTATCTTTATATGTATATGCTTCTAAACTGTTGTATTCTGAGCACCTCTGCAAAAGCAGTGATAATGTGTGAGTGTGGTGAAAGTGTTGAATGATGATGAAAGTATTTTCTTTTTGGGGATTTTCTTTCTTTTTTGGGTCACCCTGCCTCGGTGGGAGACGGCCGACTTGAAAAAAAAAATATTATATATATACGTATATAAGTAGTCATTAATTAGCATACATTAATATTTCGTGTGCACACATGCACATTTATAAAATAAGTTCCTCATTGCTATTATTTTAAGCCATGGTTCTTTTTATACTGTTATTAGTATTCTTCAGACGCTTAAATTTTAGTTCAAATTTTAATTAACATGATCTATTGTATAAAAATTATGTTTAAATTCCTGTAGCATCACAGTTCCACTAGTACTGTAGCTGTCATTTAAGAGCTCTTTTTTCTTCTCAAATCAGATAAATGTAAAATGTGATTTAACCCAATATTTCCACAAAATACTTTTTAAAACTCTTATCTCAGTGCTATGTACAGCGCTGTATAGCCCTTGTGGCTTAGCGCTTTTTTTTTATTATAATAATAATAATCAGTGCTATGTTACACTATTTCTTTAATATTGAGATGGGGCTTGAACCCATGTTAAGCCAATTCTAGAACTACCAGTTTTGTAAGTTGTTTAAACTGATGTTGTTATGATTTTGCAAGTCATGATAACATCTTTGAAAGGACTTGAGCTAGAGCTTATCACAGTTATGAGGGTGTGAGATCTGTAAAAACCTACATTGTGGTGACAATGGTGGCTCATATTAACCTTCCTAAGATATATATACTTGGTTAAAACTTGTTTGGCCAGCATGGTATAGTGGTTAGCACACTGGTCTGCTACTTTTAATACTGATGTGCCATGACTTTGAACCTCAGTGATTTTTTAAATTGTTTTCTCTAACTGGTGTTTTAATTTCCTGTATAACTGTGTTCTAGATGAGGTCAAATTCCTTACATTAAAGTTGTGCATCCCAGACATTGAAACTTGGCACATTGTACCTTTCCGTGCATCTTAATGTAAATCTTAATTTGTATTTTTTTTTCAGGTCTTGAAAAGATTGACTACATCACATACTTAACCACCTTTGACAGATTGTTTGAGATACCTAAAGAAAAGAAAACTACACAGTATCGAGAGTACCTCCATGTTCTTCTTGACTACTTGTACATGTATGTAGAAAGAGTAAAGCCTCTAATGGATCTTAATGAGGAGCTAGACAATGTCAACAAAGAATTTAATGAACAGTGGGAAGCTGGAAGGTTTGTTACAGTTTAATTGTTACATTTAGTATTTATTAATCACAGTTAAGATATGTGTATCAAATAACCATGATTTTATAATGGAAATTTGGGCATTGACAGAACTAGTATGACAGATAATTGCAATATTTCTGCTTACAGTAGCTCAATGGAAGCCTCACATTTTTATATACAGTACAGTCTTGGAATTTTTTTTTTTCCATCAAACCGGCCATATCCCACCAAGGCAGGGTGACCTAAAAAGAAAAACTAAAGCTTCTCTTAATGTATACAGAAGAAGGGGTTACTAGCCCCTTGCTCTCAGCCTCTTAACGCATGCATGGCTTACGGAGGGAGAATTCTGTTCCACTTCCCCATGGAGATCAGAGGAAATAAACAAGAACAAGAACAGTAAGAAAACCCAGAGGGGTGTGTATATATATGCTTGTCACCCTGCCTCGGTGGGAGACGGCCGACTTGTTGAAAAAAAAAACAAATGCGAGTGTAATGTGACCTAGGTGTAAATAGAAGTAGCAAGACATACCTGAAATCTTGCACGTTTATGAGACAGAAAAAAAGACACCAGCAATCCTACCATCATGTAAAACAATTACAGGCTTTTGCTGTTTACTCACTTGGTAGGACGGTAGTATCTCCCTGGGTGGTTGCTGTCTACCAACGTGCTACCTAGAAGTCTTGGTAATATGTGGTGTAAAATAGGTAAAACAAATTTAGACTAGATGTTATCCATAAAGGCATGGTCATAAACTTCTGAAATGCATAACACATGTAAAATGAAGAATAGTACTTTGAGAAGACATATTGCATAATTTAAATTTGTATTACTCTTTATGTACTGTATATTACAAGTCAACTCAGGTCATTGGACCAGGACGGGGAGTAGGTTTTCCCTTCAATAATCACATATTTGCATAACCCCAGGAGCAAGTTGGGGTATACATTATCATCACAAACACAGTGTTACCTTGAGTTTCAAACAGCTCCCAACTCGAACAGTTATGTAAGTGTATTTTTGTAAGTGCTTTTATAAGTGTATTTTTGGGGGGTCTGAAATGGACTAATCTAATTTACATTATTCCTTATGGGAACAGATTCGTTCGGTATCGGCACTCGAACAGCCTTCTGGAACGAATTAAGTTCGTAACTCAAGGTACCACTGTAATAGTAAATCAGGTCGTTTTCTGTATCATCAGTCATCACTTAGTTTCTTATCCCTGAGGAAACTGGTGATAATGTTTATAAATTGAAAATAATGATCAATATGAATGTGGCAGTAGTAAATTCTATAATTTTACGAACAAAAGGTTCTGGATTTGAATGTTTCATAGGGTATATTATTTGGGCAAATCTTACACCCTCTGTCCTTTCTCATCTGGTAGTAAATAAGTATCATGGGATAGGGAGGTTCACTTGCATATTAAGGAGTGCATTTTGGGTGATGGTCACATGATCTCTAGGGGACCTCAGTAACCCAAGGACTTCTTGTCTCTTGACATTGATATTATATACCACTTATATATACAATTTTTTTTTTTTTTCAACAAGTCGGCCGTCTCCCACCGAGGCAGGGTGACCCAAAAAAGAAAGAAAATCCCCAAAAAGAAAATACTTTCATCATCATTCAACACTTTCACCACACTCGCACATTATCACTGTTTTTGCAGAGGTGCTCAGAATACAACAGTTTAGAAGCATACACATATAAAGATACACAACATATCCCTCCAAACTGCCAATATCCCAAACCCCTCCTTTAAAGTGCAGGCATTGTCCTTCCCATTTCCAGGACTCAAGTCCGACTATATGAAAATAACCGGTTTCTCTGAATCCCTTCACTAAATATTACCCTGCTCACACTCCAACAGATCGTCAGGTCCCAAGTACCATTCGTCTCCATTCACTCCTATCTAACATGCTCACGCATGCTTGCTGGAAGTCCAAGCCCCTTGCCCACAAAACCTCCTTTACCCCCCTCTCCAACCCTTTTGAGGACGACCCCTACCCCGCCTTCCTTCCCTATAGATTTATATGCTTTCCATGTCATTCTACTTTGATCCATTCTCTCTAAATGACCAAACCACCTCAACAACCCCTCTTCTGCCTCTGACTAATGCTTTTATTAACTCCACACCTTTTCCTAATTTCCACACTCCGAATTTTCTGCATAATATTTACACCACACATTGCCCTAAACAGGACATCTCCACTGCCTCCAACCATCTCCTCGCTGCTGCTATTTACCACCCAAGCTTCACACCCATATAAGAGTGTTGGTACTACTATACTTTCATACATTCCTTCTTTGCCTCCATAGATAATGTTTTTTGACTCCACATATACCTCAACGCACCACTCACCTTTTTTCCCTCATCAATTCTATGATTAACCTCATCCTTCATAAATCCATCCGCCGACACGTCAACTCCCAAGTATCTGAAAACATTCACTTCTTCCATACTCCTCCTCCCCATTTGATATCCAATTTTTCTTTATCTAAATCATTTGACACCCTCATCACCTTACTCTTTTCTATGTTCACTTTCAACTTTCTACCTTTACACACATTCCCAAACTCATCCACTAACCTTTGCAATTTTTCTTTAGAATCTCCCATAAGCACAGTATCATCAGCAAAAAGTAACTGTGTCAATTACCATTTTGAATTTGATTCCCCAAAATTTAATCCCACCCCTCTCCCGAACACCCTAGCATTTACTTCCTTTACAACCCCATCTATAAATATATTAAACAACCATGGTGACATTACACATCCCTGTCTAAGACCTACTTTTACCGGGAAGTAGTCTCCCTCTCTTCTACACACCCTAACCTGAGCCTCACTATCCTCATAAAAACTCTTTACAGCATTTAATAACTTACCACCTATTCCATATTATTATTATAATCAAGGGGGAAGCGCTAAACCCATAGGATTATACAGCGCCCAGGGGGGGGGGGGATGTGGAAGGCATTCAGGCTTAATTCGGGGAACTGGAGCACAGATCCAATTCCCTAAATCAAGAGCCCCTCACCAACATCAAGGAACCTTCCATGAGGGGACCTATTCCATATACTTGCAACATCTGCCACATTGCTCCTCTATCCACTATCATATGCCTTTTTTAAATCCATAAATGCAATAAAAACTTCCCTACCTTTATCTAAATACTGTTCACATATATGCTTCAATGTAAACACTTGATCTACACATCCCCTACCCACTCTGAAACCTCCTTGCTCATCCGCAATCCTACATTCTGTCTTGCCTCTAATTCTTTCAATTATAACCCTACCGTACACTTTTCCTGGTATACTCAGTAAACTTATTCCTCTATAATTTTTAGTCTCTTTTGTCCCCTTTCCCTTTATATAAAGGGACTATACATGCTCTCCGCCAATCCCTAGGTACCTTCCCCTCTTTCATACATTTATTAAACAAAAGTACCAACCACTCCAACACTATATCCCTATATTAATTAATTATTTTTTTTAGATTCCCTGGCTGGCCAAAGGAAACAGGTGGTGCACTTGCAGCAATGGGTGCTCATCTTGATCTCTCAGCTTTCTCATCATCAGAAGAACTCATGTCTCTAGGTTTGGATCGTTTGAAGTCTGCTCTAATGGCTCTTGGATTAAAGTGTGGAGGAACCTTAGAAGAAAGAGCACAAAGGCTTTTCCAAACAAAGGGAATGTCTGTGGAAGAACTTGACCCGTCCCTCTTTGCAAAGTCTAAGCCTGGCAAGGTAACAAAAGGTCGTGAAACATTAAAAATCAGAGAGCTTGCTATGTTAGAAGCACAAGTTTACAGATTTACAGAAACACTAAGTGAGCAACGTTTAGCCACCAAAGAAAATGTTCAGCGCAAACAAGCCAGAAGAGATGGAGAAGAGGAGGAAGAGGAGGAAGCTTCAGCATCTGAGTCTGAGGATGAGGCTGATGATGAAGTACCATATAATCCCAAAAACCTTCCCCTGGGCTGGGATGGCAAACCCATTCCATATTGGCTATACAAACTTCATGGTCTCAACATTAGCTACAATTGTGAAATTTGTGGAAATTTCACTTACAAAGGCCCAAAAGCATTTCAGAGGCACTTTGCTGAGTGGCGCCATGCTCATGGCATGAGATGTTTGGGTATCCCGAACACTGCTCACTTTGCAAATGTTACACAAATTGAGGATGCTTTGAAGTTGTGGGAAAAACTTAAGGTTCAAAAGACATCAGAGAGGTGGCAGTCTGAGCAGGAAGAAGAATATGAAGATTCTCAAGGAAATGTTGTTAATCGAAAAACATTTGATGATTTAAAGAGGCAAGGACTCCTTTAGAATCTTAATTAATAATGCTGTTTTTGTATTTGAACAATATTATATATGCTATATATATATATATATACACATTCATGCAGTGCTTAAATTATGCATAATTCATTTATCATTTTTCAGTTCTGAATTAAATTGTACTCTAATTATTCACATTAAATAATAGCAGTAATAGATTTTTGCTGCTTTATGTATTTTACAGATATTCTCTTCTTCATAATTATTTTAATTAAGGTGCAGTTAAAATGGACCAAGTTAGTGCTGATTGGGTTTTTCATTCATTTTCACTTAATGTACATAGTATCTTTTTAAGTAAAACTGTTATGAATAAATGTGACTGACTTCCCTTTGCGTATATACTTTCCCTCCCTGCTCTTTAGTGCTGTATGATGCATCTGGGTTTAACCCATTTTTACGTATATAATTTCCTCGGGAGGTGCTGCTTGATTAAAAAAACTGGATGTACCATCCCTTTTGGATCGAAGTAAAATGCCTTCCATTCCCCAGGGGCTTACGAAGCCCCCCTGTGAGTTTAGTGCTTTACCCTGATTAAGAAAAATTATCAGTGTAGTCATAATATAAATTATTATTTTAATGCACTTGGAGAGAGTGGGGAAAATAGGATAATCAAGACCATAAATCTAGGGCGGAAGGAACGAGGGGTAAGAATCGTTGCTGGAATGGGGGTTTGAGCATCCAGCATGTTAAGTCAAGTTGTTTTTATGGTTTGATGTGCTGTTTGAGTGTTTGACTTTGAGACATTTCTCCACAGATTGAAAATTATGCGTGCTCAAAGTATCCAAAGCCATCTGTATCCATATCTGACTTTTGACTTGCAGCAGACTGTTGAGAATATTTTAACTGTTTGCTCATGGCTTCAGCCTCTTAAGTTGTGGCTTTTATAATTACCAGGGTACCTGTAGGAAACTTTTAGGAGTCTTTTAACATTGCCAATTTAATGGGTTATTAACTGATACTGGTTAATTTTATTGTGCTATAGCATTAATGTGTTGTGTGCTTTGTTCATACTAGTAGTTTTATATTTTTGTGACTACTGTGCATTCGATTCATCCATACTTCCTCCCTAGACTTTGTTACTTTCGTCATCTAGAACTTTTTCCTCACAGCCCTTTCTTACTCTTCCTCTGTTGTCCACTCCACCCTTCCTACTTTATAATTCTGCACTATCCCCTACCCTGCTGCACTGTATGACCCTTGTAGGTTTAGCACTTTTTATAATTATGATAATCCACTCCACAATACCCTAGCATTCACTTCTTTTATAACCCTATCTATAAATATGTTAATTATTATTATAAAAAAGCACTAAACCTACAAGGGATATAAATATGTTAAACAACCATAGTGACATTGCTTATTCATGTCTAAGGCCTACTTTCACTGGAAAAATAGTCCTCCTGCCTTCATACATACCTTAACCTGACCCTCATTGTCTGCATAAAAACTCTTTACTGCTTTTAGTAGTTTACCACCTATTCCATTCATTTGCAGTATCTGCCACAGCTGTCATGTCTGACATATGACATGCCTTGAACTCCATAAGTGCATGAAATCATTGCCTTCCTCACTTCAACAACATTTAACAGCATCTCAAAAATATTCCCTCCATCTCAGTACCTCTACCTTCCCATCCAGTAACTTCCCTCTTGTTTTTAACTGTTTGATCCATTCATTCCATAGGTTTTCTCAACTTAATCTCATTCCAAAACTTTTTCTTATTTTCAGCAAAATTTGATGACAAAACCTCACACATTCGTTTCCTCTCTTTTACACACCTTCACCACTTATTACCTGTATTATTCTCCATATCCTCCACCATCCTTATATCACTTTGCTTTGTAAAAAAAAAAAAAAAAAATCTCATATGCTAGCTTTTTCTCCCTTACCACACTCTTTATCTTGTCATTCCAGTGATCATTTCTCTTTCCTTCTGCACCCAACCTTCTATATCCATAAACTTCTGCTGTACACTAACACTTCATTGTAAATCTATCCCATCTTTCTCCCAACACTTCCTTATATCTTGACCCGACTTCCTCCATTAATTAATAAACTTCTCTCTTACTGATAACATTCTCCTTGTACCCCATCTACCTCTGCTCTCACCATAGCTACAACTAAATAATGATCTGGTATTTCTGTTGCCCTTCTAAAAACTTGCACATCCAGAAGTCTTTCCATCAACCTTTATTCACTAATATGGTGGAACCTCGGTACTCGAACAGCTCCCTACACAAGCAATTTGGTATTTGAATGCTTTGTTCGGTAAAAATATCACTTGGTAGTCAACTGTTTGCTGATCAAACAAACACAACCTGCCAGAACTTAGCTGTAAACAATTTCGCGTTTCTTCGCATTTTTTGGTGTTTTTTTATATTATTTGTATAAGCCACTATGGGGCCTAAGAAGATTAGTGATAACAGCCAACCAAAAAGAAAATTGGTTGGGAAAATGTTATTTAGTACTTGAACAGATTATCACTAACAGCCTTCTGGAACGAATTAAGTTTGAGTACCGAGGTTCCACTGTACATACTGAGCTGCTGTCATTATGCCATATATCACATCTCTTATTTATCCTCTGACTTAAAATACATATTACCAAACCTCTTTCTGTACTAAGTTCAATTAAAGGCTCCCTATTATCATTTACCTCTGGCATCTCATATTTACCTGTTATGCCCTCTACAGCAATTGTTTCCACTTTAGTACAGGTTAGTCGTCATAATCCGGCAATCAGTTATCCGGCTCCATCAGTAATCTGGCACTAATTTCAGCTAGCATAATTTCAAATTTCATCATCATACTGACTCAGAAATTGTGCAGATTGTTGTAAATCCACAGCAGCAAGCCAGTGGAGGAGAAAGCAGTGATGAAAATGAGAAAGATGTAGCAGAAAGAGTCTCTGTTGATAGATTAATTCAGTTGACAGGTGAACTGCTAAAATGTCTAGAGCAATGCAGTTTTATAAGTGAACAAGAAATAATGAATGTTTACATACTGCAGAATAAACTAATCAAAGAAAGGCCAAAATTTAAGTGCACTCTAACCTAACCACTCTGTAATCTGACAAACTTGCTAATCTGGCACACTGCAGGTCCCAATGATGCCAGATTAGTAATGGCCGACCTGTATTTAGGTCCCCCCACAATTATTTTCTCACTTGTTTCAAAACTCCCTCAACACTTGCTTAACATTTCCCAAAATCCCTCTCCTTTATACTCCTTTCTTCCCCAGGTGTATATATACTTAATATAACCCACTTTTTTTGCATCCATACTTATTTTAATCCACATTATCTTTGAATTTATACATTTATATTTCCTTTGTAACTTCCATAATTGATCATTCACAATTACCACCACTACCTGCTTATCTCTAATTCTCTGATACACCTGACCTTATACCATTAATTTCTCCCCACTGAAAATCTTCCTCCTTCAGCTTCCTTTCACTTAGAGCTAGGACATCTAGCTTCTTCATTCATAACAATGACGATTAACTCCTTATCTGTACTACATCTACACATCCAGGAGAAGGGGTTACTGGCCCCTTTTCTCTTGACATTTTAGTCAACTTTATGACAAGTGTGGCTTAAGTGGAAAGGATCCTACTTCATATCCCAATGGAGATGGAAGAAAATATTATAAGAGCAATCACCATTTAGAAAATGAAAGGAAACTCAGATGGGAGTGTTCATACACAAATAACCCGCACATAGGAGAGAGGAGTTCATGATGTTGTTTTGGTCCAACTTGGACCATTTACAAAGTCGCACTAACAGAAGAGCGAGGTAGCCATTATATATAAATGAGCAAGGAAAGAGGACAGGAATGAGAGGGAGGAGAGGAAGTAGTGGTAGGTTAGTAGTAGTAATAGAAAAAATAGTTGTAGTAGAAAGTACTCTCTACTTTCTACTACAGGTCGGCCATCACTAATCCGGCATCATTGGGATCTTTAGTGTGCTGGATTAGTGAGTTTGCCAGATTACAGAATGGTTAGGTTAGAATACACTTAATTAACCTATCATTACTCTTTCTGCTTCATCTTCCTCATTTTCATCACTGCTTTCTCCTCCACTGGCTTGCTGCTGTGGATTTACAGCCATCTGCACAATTTCTGAGTCAGTATAACGATGAAATACGAAATTATGCTAGCCGAAATTAGTGCCGGATTACTGATAGAACTGGATAACTGATTGAAGGATTAGTGATGGCCAACCTGTACCACTATTTCTTCTACTTCTTCATACCTACCACAACCACTACTTCCTCTTCTCCTCTTGTTCCTGTTCTTTTTCCTGCTTGCCTATATATACTGGCTTCCTTACTCTTCTGTTAGTGTGACTTTGTAAATGGTCCAAGTTGGACTGAAATGTTATTGTAAGCTCCTCTCTCCTATGTGTGGGTTATTTGTGATTGTTCCAGTTATGGTATTGTGCCTTTTTGTTCTTTCTGGGTGTGTACATGTATATGCATGTTAGTATGAACTAAGTGTAAGTAGAAGTAGCAAGATGTACCTGTCATCATGCATGTTTCAGATAAAGAAAACACCCAGTGATCTTACTGTCTTGGAAAACAATTTACAGGTATTCATTTCACACTCATTTGGCAGGATGGTAGTACCTCCCTGGGTGGTTGCTATCTGCCAATCTACCATCTAGCATTTCTGATTAAAATATAACAATTGTGAACAGCATCAATCTTCAATGGCTAATGGGTTAAGGCTGTGTAGGCACAAATTTTGTTGGATTCTGTGCAATAACTGGAAAATACATCTTCTGGTTAACTAAACTTTTAGTGATGTGTTTTCCTCGAGGGAAACAATCTCTTGACTTGTAAAACTGTAATGACATGATTGCAAACAAACTACGGTATGGGCAGGGATTGAACTCGCAGCTAGTGAATCTTAAAACGCCTACCTGGAGTTTTACGATTCACAAGCCGTGAATTTAGTCCCCTCCCATACCATGGTTGGTTAATCTCTTGATGTTACATTGTGTAAATTATCATGTGCTAATTTTGTAAATCAAATTGGTTTGTGGGAAATAATTGGAGAAGTCTCTTCCAGTTGGGAATAAGTCACAATGATTGAATGTTCTGTTATCCTAGGTTAAATCAACTTAATGTTCTCTGTGTCTAACATTTTTGTGCTCTCAAGACCATTCTTAACACTTGTAGTATATTACATATGCTAGGCATGTGGAAAACTTGCATACTTTCTTAAAAGCTGGTCAGTCTTACTGAGAAAAGTTTGGACTGATTTTAGCCTGCATATGCCCCTGCTTTTTTTTTTTTTTTTTTTTTTTTTTTTTGGGGGGGGGGGGGAAATGAAAAATTTAAACTACCACTTTTAATTCAATAATTTTTGAGTGCTGCATCTGATTAGCTTCAAGCCTTCCATGCTCATAATGTGATAGTGCAACTTCTGAGTGGCTTCAAGCTTAACGAGTCTGTTTATTTTAGGATATTGGTGTGTGTGCTCTCCTTGTAAGGTTTGGGATGTAAATGTCCTAATTTGAAAATTAAAAAAAAAAAAAAAATTGCATATTAGTTTTCATGCAATAACTTATGAATGCCTAGTCTGATTCCCTTCGGATCTTTAGCACTAATATTCAGCTGCACTCTCAACTTATGGCACACACTGTGCTATTCCAGTCACACACTGAGGTTCAAGGGAATGTGACCTTGGAATACAGGGATACCTTTCAGGGATTGTGCAGTGACCAAAATACATCTAGTTGATGTTGGTGACTGATTTGAAGCAAGGGTTGACAAGTGGTGGAGCCACCCTTGACTTGATTCTACACTCTTCAGCTCCACTCATCTTTTACTTCAGTCAAGCCCATCACTGAGGAACAGCTCCTCACAGCTTCGAGATTCATCAAGTGTACACCGGTTTAGTCATTGAGTGTGGTACCATAATAGGAACTAGTCTACCGCTTGCTCTTGACACTTTCCCCTCTTCTTGTAAACTGGGAGCTGCATTGCCATTGCTTGTTCATACAGTGACCCATCCACCATCTTCAGATATTGGCTTGTTACTGCCACCTTCACTGTCTCTTGTTTTGCTGGATCATATGTACTTCAAGTCTTGGCTTTATACATCCATTGGTTTTTAGTAGTACAGACTTGTGGCTATCCTGGGATTCCTCTGCTACCTGATCAAATTAGGTTCTGTTTGTACTTATTTTTCATGCTTGTGTAATGGAGGTATGTGCATTTATTCGCTATCTCTAACCTGGTATTGTTTTTTCTATATGATTTTTCTGAGTATGGGAGGTGAGAACCCTCATTCCTTGATACCCTAGGATAGCCCAATAAAGTAGAGTATTGTTACCGATTGTAAATCAGAAGATACATTCTCCAGTTATTTTATAGAAACTAATTTGATTAATACAGTAGGCACATAAAAACAGTCAAGGTGAAGCTTCTTTTGAGGAAAACACATCAGCACTAAAAGTTTGAAAACAACCAGAAGATGCATTCTCTAGTTATTTCACACATCCAACAGAACTTTTCCCTACACAGCCCATACCCAAAAGAATGTTCATCCATTTTATACAATGCATCAGCCATTAAATGTTGATGTTGATGAGAATTATTTTAATGAAGGGGCAGTGCTAAACCTAGTGGTCATATTTAACACCTCTGGAATGTGAGGCATTCAGAGTCAATCCAAGGAAAAGGAGGGCAAGTTAAACAGCCACCCCCCTCCTTCACAAAGCATTATCCAAGTCATATAATGCAGAATGTATGTCAAGATTAAAAGTGGCAAAATGGTACTTAAACATGTCATTAACATTATTAACCTTCTAAGTAGGATACACTTGTTGAAATTTTGAAGCTGATCTGAGAAGACTTTTAAGTTGGCTCATGAAAACAATATCTGCCATGGTCTATACAAAAATTGAGCAGAGGGTACCTGCACTTACCAATTGTTTGATGAACCCTCACTTAATAACAGTTAACCAAGGTTGAAAATTTGAAGCTGAATGGATAAAACTTTCTCAAGTTCTAAATAACAACCTTGGAAATAGTTAGTGGAAGATCAGAACACTGTAGCTAACAATGTATTTACTGTCATCATGTCATACAGTATTAAAGGGTTCACTAAATTTGTGAAAATCAAAAATGCTATAAAATCACTTGTTTTCAATATTTCTCATAATTCTTCAAGAAAAAACATTCGACTGTTTTAGGAAAATCCAATTTGAATTTTTTTTTTACATAATTGGCAAATACAAAACCACAAATTCAATACTTCTTATTAAGATACACCAATGATTAAATATTTAAAGCTGATTAGAAAAGGCATTTACCACTTACAGTAGACTGTTATATTACACAGTAGTTACATTCCTGAAAACACTGTTAGGTAAATCCGTGTTAAATAAACTGAAGACTTTATGGGAAAAATAGGGTTACGTTCCTCGGAGCCCCAAAAAAGCCAAAACTTTTTTTAGACCTCCAGATCTTACAAAAATAAACGTGAATATGTAATCGTAGTTCACTGTCATGATGTATTATATTGTTTTTACTACTTAAGACTACAAATGCAACAGAAATAATAGTACATTGGACCCCGACTTACAATGGCCTCAACCTATGATAAAACCAACTTACGATGCTTGTCAGCGTAAAAATTTGACCCCGACCTACGTTGAAAAACTCCACTTAAATCATTCGTCCTGAAAGCGGCCATCTGGTCCGTCTGGCCTGAGCGCCTCAGCTGAGCTAGTGTGACAGTGTTGACAAGTCTGGGCAGACGGTTGCACGCATACATTCGATAAACTTTATATTACAGTATTAGTGTTTTTAGTGCTTGTAACTGCTAAATAAGCCACCATGGGCTTATCGAGAATACCAAGAGACAACCCCAGAGGGTTAGCCGCCCAGGATAACCCAAGAAAGTCAGCGTGTCATCGAGGACTAACTTATTTCCATTGGGGTCCTTAATCTCGTCCCCCAGGATGCGACCCACACCAGTCGACTAACACCCGAGTGAACAGGAAAAAAATCCTGGAACTAGTGCTCATAATGGTGAATTTAAGGCCAGCAAAGGTTGGTTTGAGAGATTTAAGAATCACAGTGGCATACACAGTGTGATAAGGCCTGTTCTGGAAGAAAATGCCAAACAGGACCTGCATTACTCAGGAGGAAAAGGCACTCCCAGGACACAAAGTGTCTCATCACTCATCACCACATCTTCAATAAAGGTAAGTGTCATTTATTCTTCATTTAGTACACTAGTACATGCACAATATATATTGTGCATGTATCCTTTTTGTGTGTGTAGGAAAATGCATATTTCATGTGGTAAAAAAAATGTTTTTCATACTTTTGGGTGTCTTGAATGGATTAATTTGATTTCCATTATTTCTTATGGGGAAAATTAATTCGACTTACGATAATTTCATCTTACGATGTGCTCTCTGGAATGAATTAATATCGTAAGTCGGGGGTCCACTGTATTTCTTACCTTAAATTGTGGGTGCTGGTGTTTGTGGATGATTGAGGAGAGCTATGCTGTGGCCCTACTTGGCTGAGGTGGGTGGTAGAGGTGCTGATACTGAAGTTGATGGTTGTACTGGAGTGTGCATAAATTCTGTAATGGATTTCTGTTCTGTTTTACCCTGCAATACATTATACAGCTAACAGTAAGGCATCAGCTGCTCTAGACACCATTTTAGAGCACTGCTTATAGATTTGTTAGGGTCCTCTTCAGTGAAAAAGTCTAAGTCAGTCAGTCAAGTCAGTCAGTAAAGTCAGTCCACTATTCATCGCACAAACTCCTGTATTTATCACATTCTTTTTAACTGCACAAAGTGACGCTTCATTACGGCCACAGGCTATCTTGTCTAATATATCCATTTTCTTCATTAACTCTAAGACTTAAACGCTTTTACCCTATCTTGCCACTTTCAGCAGCACTGGTATGCCTACTGGGTGCTACGAATGCTTGGCAGATATGAGATATGGTAATTAAATGATCAAAACAATTCACAGACACAACTAGCTCCTAAGACAGAATGGAACTTGACATGTATTCACGAAGGTTGGGAGGATGGTGGTGGTGGGGGTGTCGGGGGTGGCAGGAGGCCTTTCCCAAGGCAGGAGCTTGAGCTGGGGAAATTTTTTCCGTGCCTGCAAATGGAACCGTGTAAAGGTAATTTTACAAAGTGTTGTATAAAATTGTGCCGCAATTTTTCAATAGTGCAATAACTAAAATGTGGCAAATAAATCCTTGTAATACAACAATTTACTGTATTACAAGGAAACCAATTTAATAATTTGTGAAATTGTGATGACACGACTACAAACAAACCATGGTAGGAGCGAGGATTGAATCTGAGGCTAGCAAGTCATAAAACTCCAGACCAATGCATTAGCCACTGGGTCAGCTGGCTACAATAAGACTCATCCAGCTAGGTATATTTATACACCATAGGAAGGTTATCAGAGGCACCATACTAACCTTCCTATGGTGTATAAATATACCTTGTTAGATGAATCTTATTGAAGCCAGCTGGCCCAGCTGCTAATGCACTGGTCTGGAGTTTTACAACTCGCTAGCTCCGAGTTCAATCCCCACCCATATTGTGGTCGATTTAATAAGTTGACAATTTTAAATTTGCATACCTTAAAATGAAAATGAAGCTTTCTTTTAATTAAGGTCATCAACACAAAGTTTGAATTATATTCTTTGGTAATTTTTTTTTTTAATTTCATTAACATTTTTAATTTGCAGCTAAACAAGCTAACATTTAAGGTGTCATCTTTCATGTGGGGTTAATATTTTGAAGCCATTAAGATAAGGTTTACTTTAGCTATTGAATGAAATCCTTATTACTAATAATATTGGCTGAAAATTTTAAGTGGGTAATAGTAGTTCCAGTTATCCCATGGATTCCAACATTGAATTGGCAAATTTGCCTGTACACAAAATAAATTTAATGGGAGCTGTCTTGGCTGTAAGATGCATTACCTATTAATACTGAAGTCATTCAGGAGATGTAGCCTCTAATATACTATTTAATATAACCTACCAGGAAAAAAATTCATATTTTGCACACAAAATTGGCAGATGTGTATGTATTATTATTATTATTATTATTATAATCAAGGGGGAAGCGCTAAACCTGGAGGATTATACAGCGCCTGGGGGGGGGGGATGTGGAAGGCATTCAGGCTTAATTCGGGGAACTGGAGCACAGATCCAATTCCCTAAATCAAGAGCCACTCACCAACATCAAGGAACCTTCCTTGAGGGGAGATGTGTATGTAAACATTTCAGTTTTATTTTGACATGGTCAAATTAGAAGACCCCTTCACTGAATGCTTGAAGATTCACTAAGAATTTTGGTGTTATCAGAACCATTCCAGGATGCTAGTTATGAGTTAACATTTTTGGTCATAGAGCAATGCACATACCAATTGGTAGTGGAGTCTTGCTCTAGTCATTCTTCACCAACATTGAAAATTTATGCATCAAATATGGCCTTCTTGAGTTATGAACAAAATGGAAACGTTGAAGGAAAAAAAATTCAGGCAACTCCTTAAAGATTTTCCTTTGGGGATACCTAATTAGAAAAACAAATATGTATTGAACACTTGAGTTTTTAAGTTTGAAGAGTTAAGCGAGGCCTATAATATCCAGTTTTTGGTTCACTTGTTTCCAGAGCTGATGCATACTCAGTGACATTTTTTCCTTCTTCCTCCTTGGTCTTTGTTTATAATTTGGTAATGTCTTAATCAATTCTGATCAAATTTTCAACTCAAATGAACTGCAATTAGGAAAAAGGTTCATGACACTATTGGTATGGGCAGGTGCCCTCTGATTAATTTTTTATAGACCATTCCTAAACTTAGTTTCCCTGTGATAACTTTAGAAAGCCTTTTCATATCAACTTCAAAAGTTCAACACTGGTGCTTTTTACTTGGAAGGAGGTCGATATTTTTATTTGTGCAGAAGCCTGTAATTGTTTTACATTCAGGATTGCTGGTGTCTTATTTCTGTCTCTAACATGCAAGATCTCAGGTACTTACACTTAGGTCACACTACACATGCATGTACGAGCATATACGTATATATACAGTATATACATGCATATATTAAAGGTAGTAGGTTGGTAGACAGCAACTGCCCAGGGAGGTACTATCGTCCTGCCAAGTGAGTGTAAAACGAAAGCCTGTAATTGTTTTACATGATGATAGGATTGCTGGTGCCCATTTTTCTGTCTCAAACATGCAAGATTTCAGGTACGTCTTGCTACTTCTACTTACACTTAGGTCACACTACACATACATGTACAAGCATATATATACACACCCCTCTGGGTTTTCTTTCTAGTTCTTGTCCTTGTTTATTTCCTCTTACCTCCATGGGGAAGTGGAACAGAATTCTTCCTCCGTAAGCCATGCGTGTTGTAAGAGGCGACTAAAATGCCAGAAGCAAGGGGCTAGTAACCCCTTCTCCTGTATATTTTACTAAATGTAAAAGGAGAAACTTTCATTTTTCCTTTTGGGCCACCCCGCCTCAGTGGGATACGGCTGGTGTGTTGAAAGAAAGATATACTACATATACATGTATATATATACACACCCCTCTGGGTTTTCTTCTGTTTTCTTAATACAGTGAAACCCTGGGTTCCTATCTCCCAGATGCCAACAAGTCTCTTCAGTAACGGTACGTAAATGTGATTTTAAATATTTATTTATGTATTGTATTACTCATTTAATACTATATGTAAGTTTTAAGTACTATATGTATGTTAAACTATAGTTATTCTTTAGAAAATGTATTTTTTGTGAATATTTTTGTGGGTCTGGAATGGATTAATTGTATTTACATTATTTCTTACTGGAAATATTGCTTTGCCTTTCAGCTGTTTCGACTTTAGGCCTAGCTCCTGGAACTGATTACGGCCGAAACTTGGGGTTCCGCTGTAGTTCTTGTATTTTGTTTATTTCCTCTTGTCTCCAAGGGCAAGTGGAACAGAATTCTTCCTCCGTTAGCCATGTGTGTCATAAGAGGCGACTAAAATGCTGGGTGCAAGGGGCTAGTAACCCTTTCTCCTGTATATATTACTGTACTAAATTTAAAAGGAGAAATTTTCATTTTTCATTTTGGGTCACCTGCCTCAGTGGGATATGGACGGTTCGTTGAAAGAAGAAAGGTACCATTTTGGAAACTTTATTTAAAAAATGGTATGTTATTTTTTCCTGTAAAATATGCACATTTTGAATCATAAATGGCTAAAGCATCTTATAAAAAGAATATTTTCTATGATTTACCTGTTAAAGTGCTAATTTACCAACTACTAATGTACTAGTTAATAAACTTAGAATTACTGGATTCTCTGCTATAACTTGAAAATGTAAGTTCTGGTCAGCTTAAAATTTTTTGTGATTTTTTGTTGAAACAATCTTGCACTGATTTTGGGAAAGTTCTTTTTTGCCAGTTTTATTAAAAAATGGTTTCTCACCAATAACTGAACAATGTCTCTCCTGAAAGGCATCGAACGCTAAATGTTGGTACAGTATCTTACTTAGATACTCAACTGCACTGAATATTTATGCCACTCTGTACTATTCTTCTTGCATGCATTAAGGTAGAGAAGATTGGGTTTATGGAATATGGTTATACTTTTCTTAGATTGCACAGCAACTTAAGTACATAATTTACTTTTATAGTATACTATTCCATTTGTTAAATAACACTGGTGATTACTACTCTTAAACCAAGAAAGGTATGGGAATAAATAATACTCATGTTGAACTGATCATTTTATTCTCAGCTTGACAGTCTTTCATTTC